CTAGCCAAGGTATCTGTAATTTGCATCTCTCCAGAAAAATAGTGTTCTTTTGCTTTGAGAAGCAAGGCATGCACAGAGTTAGCACAGAACAGTGGCGTGACAGTTTGAAAAACCCAAGTTTTTCTTGAAATGTCACAGAAGTCCTTGAAATAAAGCAGCAGGCTGTTACTCAGCACATAATTGTGCATTTTTGCTTAACTTGTGCCAAAAAGAAAGAAAGAAAGAAAATACCTTGCCCCATAACATGATCCTGACAATGATATTGCAGTTCATTTCCCTGTGTGCAAGGACAAGACAGACAAGCATTTACATTCTTTATGGAAGTACTAATTTTTTCAGTATGTAAGTAGTGGAGTTGAATTCTAGAGATGATGATGCACATACATTGTTTCCATAACTCTAATTTCCGTTCAGGTTCTCTCTCTCTCTCTCTCTCTGCCTCCCTGGGATGATATGGAATGATTGCATGTTACAAACACTTCACACCATTTACTTCAGAAATGATAGTGTGAGTTAAACTGTGTTTTTTGTTTGCTCAACAACAAAGAATAGTGTGAACATTTGTGTATAATGTGAAAAGCCCCTTCATTAATGTTGACTGTTTACCCTTTCTTACATTGATTTGAAGTGTCAGCATATAAACATTAGAGTATTTGGAAAGAGCCTTTCCTGAGAAACAAATTCCTACAAGTTTGTGGTTTTATAATCATTTTCTGGATATGAGTTCCAGAAATGTAATCATGCTATTCCAGAGCAGCAGGACATCCTGTGGTGTACAATCTGGCTCCTTTCAATTTGGGATTAGGTTGGAGTGAAACAAATATAAAAGGAGGGGAAAGGAAGAGGCATGTAAATGGAGCAGCAAGGACAGACTCTTCTAGTTGCTCACACCAGAAGCAAGCCTGGTTCTGAAGTTTTTGTATACATGCGAGGGTAAAAGGCTTTCCTTGCTAGTCTCACTGGTTTCCTTGTATTTTGCTCATGTTCAGAGGTGGGTGGTAGCTGTGGGTAGGGTTGGGCAACAGCTTCAACCAATTTCTGAAATCTAAACAGAATTAGCCTGATCAGCCTTGATTAGTATGAGGTCTGGACTGAAAAAGAATGAGCCCATTGGGTTTCAGACTGAAGCTAAAGTGCCCAGAGTACTTTGGACCAATCCAGAGAACCAAATATCTAAAATAAGCAGGGAGAAGCCAGAGAATGCGTTGCCAATAAAGTGATATGATTGGGAATGGAGCTGATTTTACTTATTGACAGCATTAATGTGTAGCCTGAAGCAGGAATTTCACCACTATTCTCCAATCAGTCATTGAGGGAAGATATTGTGTTAAGTCACTTAAATTAAATATTAAATTATCTTATGTAGCTGTTTGTCATTCTCTTGCCATGTTTAGCAATGTTAGTAGCAGTCAGCACAGAAGTTTCCTGAGAAAATAGCTGTGTTGATTGTAGACTCGGCTCAGTCTGAATCCTCTTCCTTCCTTTTGTCTCCAATAGCTTTTTGCTTAATCCTTCCTTTACCTTTCTAACTTTCTTAAAATCAAGTAGTATAATTTGTTTACTTTATGTAACACTTTGTGTGTTTTCACAAAGAGAAACTTATTCTCCCCTGTGTCCGTTTCTTACATACGTACTTTTATGCCTATGAGCGTGGGCAACAGTGTATTCATTTGAATTTTTCAAGGAAGCATATTTATTTTACAAAGAAAACATATAGCTGTGAATTAGAATGTACATTTAATTTATATATTGAAATTGAATCATCATAATAAGCACTATTAGTTTTTATTCCCCATGAACTGTTGGATAGCTCAGGGGCCTAAGTCTCTGGCTGTGCTTCCTTGTCAGGGACTGGACTTGATGATCCAGCTCTGCAGTTGTTGTTGTTGTAGCATTTCATTGATATTTGTGTGAGCCAAGAACCACATTTAATTTAAAGTCTACTGTATCTCCTCATCATTCCAACTTACATATAGCATTTAGAGCTTCTGTTCAACGGTTACTGTTATACTACCATAACTTCGATCTTTTGTTTAACGTAATTAAACCATCACTACAACTGTAATAGAAGCTTATATGCTACTCTTGGAGCAAGAAGAAAGCAGAGTGATTTGTCTTCACCCCCATGTGGTAGTGGAAGTAGGCTTGATGGTCCTTACTATGATCTTCAGTACAGTTTATTAATTCTTGGGGATGTGCATAGGGAGATATCATGGCTTCTCCCAAACTGTGGTGAGGAGCTATGTTGTCCAAGAAGGATGCTTTGATTGGTGAGGAGCTATGAGCTATGTTGTCCAAGAAGGATGCTTTGAATAGGTTTACTTAACAGCCTGGTGCTTTGCAGTGCCCCCCCCCAAACCAACATATTTGCCTGCCTGCCTGCCTCTACCAACTACGGCTGCCGCCCATGTGGCCATCCAGTGTCTGCCCTGCAACTTTTAAATTAAAATTCTCCCCATTACATTTAGGAGTGTTTTTTTTGCACTAATAAGTACAGCGAAGTACTAACTCAGAAGTCTGAACTGCACAGATGGTTTTTACAGCTCTAGCATGGTCCCCACCATCATCAGCAAAGGAGTTCTGTCAACCTGGAAAGATTATCTTTAATTTAGCTGTCTCTCTTTGCCTGCCCACCTCATACAAGCACTGCTGGACAGGCAATTTTTTAAATTTATCCTATCACCTCTTTTTGTGTGTTTTTAATTTTTGGTGCACTTTTTCAACTGTAAAGGGGGTGAAAGTACGAGAAGACAAAAGCAGCATAAATGAGCAAGACTAAACATTGGATTCACTTTTTTCAGGGGGGAAAAGCAAACTCTAGAGGTGCCCAGAAAGGAAACCCCTGAAGCTTGGCGTCCTCTACTTTTTAGGTTCAAAAAGTTATAGCAATTTCAGTCTTCCAGTGTTTGCCAACTGGAAGAGAAATGGTTGGAATTTTCAAATTGATCTGGATTCAAGTCCCAGATCAAGTTGGACCAGATCCAGACCACTCCAAACTAAATAAGAAGCCAGTCCAAAGTCTTAAAATGATATCTAAACCAAATTTCAGGACCTGTAGAGATCACCAGTGGTAACAGTACAAACTGAATCTTTGCCGACATTTTTCAAGACCCATGTTTGGGACTTTAGAAATGGAAAATCTGATACACTGTAAAGTATAGCAAAATACAGGAAAATATGACATGGGCCAAGCATTGCTGGGGAGGCTGGAGTTTAAAAAATGCCATCAGTTGGCTGATGTCTTGGGAAGTTCATGCCTCAATCAACTGCTTGCTCCATAAAGAGCCTATGATATTTCTGGCTCTACAAGTTATGGAGGAGATGTGTCTTTTTTGTGATGACTTGAATATTGTAGAGTGATTAGCATTAGGGTTGTTGGATGACACTCTATCTTGATTCCTTGTTAGTTTCCTTAAAACAAAGTGAATACAAATATCTGCCTTTTCCCCCTCTCAAACAACACAAAATTCCAGCAATTTTAATTGGAAACTTAATGAATGAGAAACTGGCACAAAATATTGTAACTGGAGAAATAAACTAAGCTATCCTTTAGACTCTTTCCATTGTACTGTTTAGATCCTTGGATAGTTGTTCTTTGGCTGTTTTCAAACATCACAATTCAAAGTGGCTCCAGTGGTAAACACAGGCTTATTTTGGCAATCTTATAGCCAGTCATTAGCTCCAGGGTGAATGATCTCAAGCAACTAATGCATGGATGTTAATCAATCAAAATAAGCTCTTGATTTATGGCAGGAGCAATACATGAGTCTTCTCCAATATTCTTTGGGACATAAATGTTGCATGACTGTGTTACACCTCTGTGTGGTAAACTTGGTGAAATCCAGTCTTTGTAAAAACCAAAAGCCAATTTCATTTACTCCCTAGTTATGATCATGTTAAGAGGGACTGCATTTCACTCACAGTAAGGAATCTTAAGACTTCTTTATTTATACATGTATTTTTTATTTTATTTTTTCAATTTTTTTATTTTTTTAAACATAAGGGGTAACAAAGAAAAAAGGGAATTGGAATTTATGAGGAAGAGGGGAGACAATAACATACTGGTATCCAATCTATATCTATTGCCATATCAAGATTTTAAGTTATTCTATTTACTCTTTTCTGCCTTGTAGATAAAGTTCACATTTCAATATATATTGATCAGCTACTGCCTGTCGATTCAGTCCATTTGTTAAATAAGTCCCATCTTTCTCTTGCCTTTTGCAGGGGTTGATCTTTCATGACTTCTGATAGGACATCCATTTCAGCTATTTCCCGTATCTTTTCAATAAGATCTTCTTATACATGTCTTTTTTTAAAAGGGCACTAGCTCTTATTGTTGCAAAGGAAAGCTTAAAAGAGGTAAATGTGTGGGCTAATTGTTAATTCCAGCCAGAGTATACCCAAGCAATGAATGGGAGTAGTCAAGTCAACACCAAAGTAAGCCTTATTGTTTCAGCTGGTGAACTCCAAGTAACAAGTCGGCCTACGCTGTTGATGTCAAAAGGGAAGAATGAATGCCCCGAGGCCAGTAGTTGGGCTGCAATAAATGTATACAATGTACTCTGCCAATCTTTATGAGTACAAGGCCAAGTTCAAGTTCCTGGAGTTCATATCAGTACCTACAATTGTGCATCTCCCTCACATATTACTAGATGCAAATAAAGAAATACAGAAATGCCACATGTGATGTAGCCCTCATGGAGCATGAAATAGAGCTTAGATCTTTGTAATATTTTGAAGTACTCCTAGGATGGTGACCACTAATAATATTGCCACATTTAATCTTTTGAATCCTCTTCTCCAGCTCTCTCCCTTTCTACCCGCTCTGTTCTCATCCTCCCCTTTCCTTCCCCATATGCTGGCAAATATGACACCTTCTCATACTACCCATTGATCATAGAATCATAGGATAGTGAAGTTGGAAGAGGCCTATAAGGCCATGATATCAAACCCCCTGCTCGATGCAGGAATAATTACGTTTCTCTTCTTTTCGGTAGGAGAATGTTGCAATGAAATCAGAAGAGCGGGCGAGTGAAATCCAGCGGCTGGAGCAGACCATACAAGACCTGAAAACAAAAATTGCAGAACTGGAGAAACAGTTTCCAGCAGCAGAGCCACTGGTCTCCAGCAACAGCATCTCACGAAGTGAAAGCAGATGGCCAACACATGAGGGTCTCCTTAATATAGCTCTTCAGGAACAAGAACCATGTGCCCTACCTAAAACTATAACTGCAAAGTCTGTACAGACTTCACCAATGGACGATTGTTTAACACACGTAATGCCTTCAGTCAACACACTGCCACAAGCTCCTCCCCATTTCCAAGGGAATCTGAGTCAAGGGTCAACTGAGCCATTGCCAACACTTGAGCCACAGCCCACCTTTTGCTCTGAAATCTCTCTTGTTCTCTCACCAAAACGGATTTCTGTACAATTGGATGCTGCCCAAGAAAAGCTGACTTGCAGTGAACAGTCCCCTTCTTCATCCATTTCTGGCCCTACCACTGGATTGTCTATTTCCCTGCCTGGAGCAGGAGGTCCATTTTTAATGCCACCTTCTTCTGGTTCAGATGTACTGCCTCTACCATCCCTACCTGCCTCAGGACATCTCCAATCTTTACCTGGCACAATGCTGCCTCCTGCCCCACCATTGCCTGGCAAAGAGATTCCTCCTCCACCACCTCTGCCTGGAATGGACGTGTCACCACCTGCCCCTTCTTTAGCAAATGTTTCTTCTCCACCTCCTTTATCTGGAGCTGGAATGGATATAGAGATACCATCACCACCACCTCTTCCTGTAATGGGAGTGCCACCACCACCGCCACCTTTGCCAGGGGCAGCTATTTCTCCTGCAGCAGCTTTGTCCAGCCTGGGTGTGCCCCCTGTTCCCCCACCTTTGCCTGGCATGGGAGCACCTCTGCTTCCTCCTCCTCCACCGCTGCCACCTCCTCTACCTGGAATGGAAGTGCCACCACCTCCACCTTTGCCAAGCATGGGGATTCCCCCTCCCCCACCTCTACCAGGGATGGGAGTGCCAATACCTCCACCATTGCCAAGCATGGGGGCACTTCCCCCTCCCCCTCCTCCTCTACCAGGAATGGGAGTGCCACAACCTCCACCTTTGCTGGGCATGGGGGCACCTCCCCCTCCTCTGCCTCTGCCTGGAGTGGCTGTACCACCTCCTCCACCTTTGCCAGGCATGGGGGCACCTCCCCCTCCTCCGCCTCTGCCTGGAGTGGCTGTACCACCTCCTCCACCTTTGCCAGGCATGGGTGTGCCACCTCCACCCCCTTTGCCTGGGGCAGGAGCTCCCCCTCCTCCCCCACCTTTACCTGGTGTGGGTGTGCCACCTCCCCCACCCCTTAGTCTTCCACACATTTCTGGATTTCTTCCCCCTCCTTTGCCCAGTGGTTTATTTGTAATGGGGCTGAGCCAGGAAAAAGGTAGCAGGAAACATGCAATAGAACCTTCTCGACCAATGAAGCCTCTTTATTGGACCAGAATTCAACTTCACAATAAAAGGTAATGCGTGTTCGAAATGTGGGGTTGAAGCAAACTAAATCCCTGTACTTCGTTTTTTCCATGGCACTATGAACTAAGAAGCATGTTTGATAATGCTCAGGGTTTGTTTGTTTTTTCTGAGAGAATGTTAGGAAAAAAATCTCTTTTTGTATTGGAAGATAAATGTCATCAGTGGCTTACACCATATGCTTGTTGGTAGCAAACCAGACTGGTATTTCTCTGGGTAGCAATGTGTCTTTTGCTCATTTGCAAATTAGCTGTAGTTACAACTTGTATGCTTTCTGAATATATTTATGTAAATGGTCCTTTGTCAGGGAAGTTTCAAACATGCCCTTTTGAGTAACCATTCACACATAGGTAGCAGTGCTACCAAGTGACCTTATGCAATCTTTATGTGGCCACACTCAGATGGAGATAACTTTTTGTGTACTGACAGCCATGTGTTCAGCAGTGATTCTGACAGGTCAAAAAATTGTGTATCTGTTGTCTCATGGCTAAACCTGCCTATTTGACGCGCGTTTCGAAGCCCTTTGAACTTGACTTGTCCCTCACAGCACTTTGAAAGGTGCTTTTTCCCATCACGAACACATGTGACAGAAAGACTGGAGAGGGAAGAAGAATTTATGCACACAGGAGATGAATCTCTATGACAGAGGGGACATTTGGATGGTGAAGAGGGCACAATGGGTAAGAAAGGGGAAATGTGCCATTTATTATTTGAACCCTTCTACATGTCAGATCAGGCAATGCTTAATAACATATCATCTCCAGCAGTGCCCCTAGATGGTGACTTTGTCCATCTGAATTCCACATGAGCATTAGTTATTTTGAGAAAAATAGCCTTACTACATGCTCAGTGATTTATCATAAGCATCCTCTGGGACTGAGCCCTAACATTTAAAGAAGGCCAGCATAGGATCCATGTGTAGCATTCAGCTTTTTGCCAATCACTGAAAATTAAGGAATTGGCCATAAGACTAGGTAATATTCTGTCAAGTCTCCTCTTAATATGGGTGTTTCTAGCCATAGATCTCTTATTCATACCAGTCAAAAGACAAAGTGGTGCTACAAAATCTTTTTGTTTGTTTGTTTTTAAGAGGAGAGAAAATAATAGAATATTTTTAAAAATAAAAAAAGAAAGTGTTGTCATTGATCTGACAAAAATCCTTCACAGCATGGTTTGTAAGTATCCTACTAGATGTGGGGACAAATCGCCATTTTGGCTAGTCATCATGCTTCATGATCCGTCAAATTTGACAAAGCACAAATATCCTCCCCATGAACCAATGAAGCACGAATGTATTCGTTGATTTGTGGGGGTCTAAAAAAAGCTGACCCCTCCACCCCCACAGCCTGCCCCCTGCCCCCTTCCCTCTACCCCTGTCACCTCCCTACCTTGGCTGCCACCACTGCCACCACCACTGACTACCAACCACAAAGGCCTGTGCCACAGCGGCCTCCACAGTTACCATCCAGTACCACTTGCTGCAATGGCCTCTGCCATTGTGGCCTGCCTTAAGGGAATCTAGGCTGCCCTTTGCAAAGATGGTGGATGCAGCTTCCCTGACTAAGAGAAGCTGCAGCCACCATCTTTGTAAAGGGCAGCCTGGATTCTCTTAAGGCAGGCTAAGGGAATCCAGGCTGACCTTTGCAAAGATGGCGGCTGCAACCTCCCTGCCCTAAAAGAAGCTGCAGCCGCCATCTTTGCAAAAGGTTCAGTATTCCTTACCGCAGGTGGGAGGCCACCGTGGTGGGTGGTGATGGATGGTAGCGGCAATGGGTTCCTTACCGCAGGTGGGAGGCCACCGCAGTGGGTGGTGATGGATGGTAGCGGCAATGGGCAGCAGTAGATACCGACAGTGGTGGGCAGTGGTGGATGGCAGCAGTAGCTAAGGGAGGGGCAGGGGATAAGCTGTGGGGGTAGGTGGCTGTGGGACTGGCTGGTAGCCTATCAACCCCCAGTCTGCTGATGGATGGGCCCATAGGCAGAATGGGAAAGCCATAGGAAGAGAAGGAAGGCTAACCTTCCCTCTTTGTATGGGGGATGGATAAAAATGGGGAAATATTCATCCCTTCATATTCATCAGGGGCTCTGGAACTGACAAATATGAAGGGATGAATATTTAACAAATCAGCAAATTTTCATGAATATTGTAATCCGTTTTTTTATTCGTCCCCATGTCTATAATCTACCCATTAAGAAGTGCAGCTGAACTCTTTGTGAGAACAGGGTGGTTCAGTGCCTAAGGTAGCTGAGAACCAATTACCATCTTAACCCCTTTGGAAAATATTTCAATATGTATTTTAAATAAATGCTTTTCTATGGTAAAGCAGCAGTTTTCTCTGACAGACACACATCTGGAACTCCTTTTAACTCTTGGTGATAACAGGGAGTTGCAGGGGCTCAAACATTCCTGAAAGCCATGCCCTCAGGTATAGACGGACTGTCCCCAAACCTATGATGTGTGTGGATGCTCAAAAGGGGAAGATATTTGTGTGCTCTAAGGAGGCACACGAATTTTTATTCACATATGTTGCTTCCTTTCACGTTGAATACAGGTTCTAGGACTAAGAATTGTCAAAAAGAAAAAAAGAAAGAAAGATGTGAAAAGAAATGTTTGGGGATATAGAAGAGTAACTGTGTAAGGGATATTCTGGTCTGCAGTATGGCCAGACAAAGCTCTGATATGGCTTTTTGTGTGGCTATAAGTGTAGGACTCTTTACAGGATGTCTTATGGTAGCTTTTTTCTTTCTTCTTTTTTTAGTAACACAAAACTATACTCAGCCTCTTTCCTCATTGGTTTTTTTCCCTTGCTTGTGTTTACTACTGTGTGTATCATTCCCTGTTGCTATTTCTTGTACCTTCTGTGACAGCCTTCACATTATCCAATCCATTTTATTCAGCTGGGGAAGATTAAAGAGCTAATTTGCTCAGACTATGCTGCTTATTATGAGGACAAGAGAAGAGTCCCTTCAAGAATGCCAAGCAATCATGATACATAGTGCAGTTTCTTGTCTCACCATTAATCTGTCCGAAACATGAACAAAAATGGTGTGCAATTATCAGTGACGTCCATAACAAAATCTAGACTTCCCAAATAGTTCTGGTGAGCTAACGCTGTCCTGTGTAAATTTGATGTCCTACAGAAGTAGTTGATTCTTATTCCTGACTCTTCTTTTCAGCTCACTAGGCTTATTCTAATTTAATATTATCTTGCAAGTACTTGCTTTAACAAAAACATATTCACCTTCTTTACTATCACTGTAATCAGGATCCTTCAGACAGGAATCAAAAATTGTAGCATGAATCTATATATATTGAACATAGATACCTGTCAGAAAGTAGTATTTTATACTGTTTAGAAAATGTGTGGAAAATGAGAGTATTCAATATTCAATTTTTTAAAAATTGAATCATTTTTTAAACTAGAAAAAGAGTGCTACCTTGAGTAGTTCATAAATGGGTTTTCATCATCTATCTTCATTCCACTATTTTGTGACTACTTAGTCTGATATTGCCCTACATAGGTCTTTTGCTTAACTTTAGAGATTCTAGTGCTTCACTTGTGTGGGAAAAAATTGAAGAGCCTTCCATAGATTATCATGAATTTGAAGAACTGTTTTCTAAAACAGCTGTTAAAGAAAGGAAGAAACCCATTTCGGACACCATCACAAAGACAAAGAACAAACAGGTGAGTACCTCTGTGTAATCTTTCTTAAGGCAACATGTGGGTTGGAAAATACCCTCTTATGGTTGGCACATATGAAAGATGTATATTAAGAAAATATAAATGTAACATATTAAAACAGAGGTTAAGAGTTATAAGGCTGTTGCATTTTGTATTATATTTATTAAAATATAATATTGGTTATATTTATTTGTAGAATAATATAAGATAGAAATTCTGGAGTGGAAACCTGGAGATCTGAGAAACATGGTTAAGGGGTTGCAGAGTGATATGGATGGAGCAGCCTCTATTTTTCAGTCATAGTTCAGGGATTAATTTAATTAATTAATTAATTAATTTATTTATATGCCACCCACATTACCCAAAGGTCTCTGGGCGGATTAAGTTACAAATAGCACATCATTAGAACTCGAAATGACATGAGTATTCCAGAGATGTGAATCTTTCGTATCTCAGGAGTCATACTAAAAAACAAAGTTGATGTTCAGTTCCCAGTAATTGTTCACAAAATAAAACAAGCTAATTTGTAAATTACAGGAGGCACAAAATTTACTTCTGTGGTAGGTAGATATCTTTCAACACTTAAAGAATACCATCTTATAAAGTTGTGCTGTCTGTAGAGAATAATTTGATCTTTAATGAAGTTTCAGGTATTAATGGGAAAGCTGAGCAATGTGGTTTTTCACAATATTTTAGAGAAATATAAAAAGAAAAAGATAATTTTAGCACGAAACATTGTGAATGGAGAATTGCTTTTAAGGAACAGAAATATAAATGCAAATATAAATGCATATGTATTTTTTACAGAAACTAGGCTTTTAATTCTAAGAGTCATTGAGGCTTTTTTAGTGTTAGAGCACATGTTTGGAACTTGAATATCATAAGAATGTTGTATATTAGAAAAAAGGCATTCCCACAAGCTAGCTCATCACTATAAAGAAAAAATTGTCTGCCTTTCATCCCAGAGGCTATCAGGAAGAGAAATCCTCCCTCCTTCAGATTACTGATTAGAGATAACAATGAAGATAGCCATGTTTGCAGAATCTACCCAAGTTTTAAGGTTGGGAGCTATCAGCTCTTGCAAATACTGGTTTAGTATATTTTGCTCCTCAGCCACTTTCTCTTCAGAAAGAAAGGGGACAAACAGTCCAGCTGGTCCATGGCCACAGCACCATTTCTTCAGCTATCTTAAACTGAGGATTTGTGACACCAAGAAAATAGGTATTGCACTCCCACAAGGAATGAAGATGCTGGAAACAGGGATGGGTGCAGTAACCTGCAGTGAGGAAATTAGCCAAGCTGACAGAAACCATGGGGGAGACTGAAATTTTATCAAACTCTTCCAGGCCCAAATCATCAGAGGGCAAATACTTTGGCCATAAAGCAGATTATGGGAAAGGAATGATGCAAAAGGAGTCTGGTAGATGGAGTGGGCTACACCCAGTTAGTCCCTAGGATTGATTTGATGATCAAGTTTAAAAGAGTTTGCCCAACCAAAGCCCCCCGTACCTCTGCTGCTTGTGTGGGTGTGGGGAGGGGATGCTGTGTGGATCCTACAAGCAAGAAGCTTTGAGGTGGTCACTTGGCTCAATATTCTCATATTCCATATGACTGATGTACCAAAGGTGCAGCCAATTAACCAGATTAAGCACAATTAAAATAAAAAGCCAAATTAAACTAGCAGCGAAGGAAACAAAATTCATGTCTTAGAAGCCAGTTAGCCAGATTAATTTTGTTAAAGAAACTAAATACCTATTAGCCAGATTTGAACAACAGTGCAACCCATGATACACAAAGATACCATCTGGCACTCATGCAACATGAAGTAAGATGGCCAGGGGAACACAAGAGCTGTGCACCTGAAAACATCTTACTTGGACAGTCTCAAATGTCAGCAACTGGACAAGCCTATGTTGGCAGAAAAAAAGAGAGGGAAGGAAGGTTTGTTAGCAAGAATGTCACTGATGACCAGTCAGATGACTAGTGTGCAAGTGTCCTTTAGCTGGTTGCTGCAAGATGATTGGTTTGTTTTCCCACCAGCTGGAAAATGAGCCAACCAAATTTTCTTCCTCCTTACCTGAAGTGGGGAGGGGAAAGTGCTCCGCCCACTCAGATATGAGGAGGTGAAGTAGCATACACCATATGGAGATGTTAGAACACTGAAACAGTTCCCCATTCCATTGTTTCACACGATATGCAGACAGTCTATGACAGCATCAACCTCTTTTCGTGAGTTGTGAACTAAACATGGAACATCTCTGTGCCAGAGTGACATGATACACAATGTTACAGATTCAGCCAGAGGGAGACTTCATATAAAAGATACTTCCAAGGATCTCTCAGTAATGGAGGTGATCTGATTCTCACTTCTGGAAAATGATATTCTGTAAGAATAGAAGTCCTCACCTGGACTCACTTCGCATGGATAAAAAACAAGAGGGAAAAATAAGATTTTTCTTTTCATTTCAGCAAGTTGCGCGGAAGAAACAAATACACAGATGTACACATATGTACACACATATAAAATTAGATACATATTTGGCAGGGGAATTGTATGCAATAGTTATCTGGCTATAGTATTTCAAAACATGGTAGTTTTCAAATGGAATTTAATCCAATGTGATCATCTGCGTTGCCATCAGATAAATATCTAAAGTTCACAACAGAAGCATAAGATGCAAAAGTATACGTTTGTGCAGCATTCAGGTTTGCTTTTCTTAAATGTGTCACATTGAATAATTTTACGATTCAAAGATGAACATCCCAACTATTGTTGTCTTGACAGGCTATTTATAATAATTTCTATATCCAAATAAATAGGTGTGTCTACTCTGTGAAATTGAATTTTTATTAACATATCATGAGATTTATCAACAAAAACTTCTGCAAAGACTAAAATAATGGCTACTGCGTTGGTTTGGCAAACAGTGGTTGAACAGGCAGACAGCAGTTGTGGCTGAACACTAGAGGCTGTGGTTTGTAATGTCTGGCAGTATTTGTTTTCTTTGCAATGGTAAGCACTTTATTAGATTATCTTTAAAGTATATTATAAAATATTGGATCTGGATACCCCAAAAGGTCTTTAAAAGGACATGTTTTCTGCAAAACAAGCTTATCAAGAAATTAATAGAATCCAGTTGAAGAATAGAATATACAGTTCTGCCTTGCAAACCACTAGCCCATATCGCCCAATATTGTCATAGAATGATAGAATAATTGAGTAGGAAGTGGCCTGTAAGGCTACCAAGTCCAACCCCTTGCTCAGTGCTGCCATCCATATTAAAGTACATCTGACATATTTTCTGTTGAATACGTCCAGCATTGGTATTCAGCTCTGATTAGGTGTGATGCTCAGGGTAAAATCAGGCTTGAGTTCACTCCCGGCATATGCTGCAGCTTGGTGCTTGCTGGTTGCTCTATAGTTGCATGAACCATTTCCCCCTAGAAGTTGGGAAGGTGCCTGTGTTATCTTGCCTGCAATGGCTAAGCAAGTCCAGATAGCTTCAAGGACATCTCATTGCTAACCAGTGCAGCTGTGGTTCTCCACCTGGGAAGGATAAGGACTGAGTGACTAACTGTAAGAAGTGGGAGGGTGATGTAACTTTCCCAAACACTCTTTGGATCCAGTGTTTGGCCTCAATAATAATCGCCTCTTGGATAATAAGGAGGAGGGTGGCTTTTGATGCAGAGTTTGATCATCTGATTGCAGGTAGTTAGTGGGATTCCTTTGCTATTTTCATTTGGGTCCCAAGAACCAGGTTAGAGATAGGGCTGCTTAGAGTAGAAAGTTGATTATATTTTTGAGTGGTGTTGTTTGTAAGTCTTGCTTCTCATATGTTTTTATATCTGCTTCTACCTTGTTGAGGTTGCTTTTAAGATATGCCTATTGCTTTCTTTCAATCATATGCAAGCAATTTTTTTTTAGTAAATGTAATATATTTATAGACCTGTGTTGGTCTTAAGTGATAAGGAATGTGATACCAGTTAACTTCAGTCCTAGCTGCTCAGCCAAGCTACCAAGTAAACAACCCAGGGTCTTGGAACCCTGCTGAGCTTCCTGCAGTTATAAGGAAGCTCAGCATTGGCATAGGTTGAGGAGTAGCCTAGAAACCTCAGTTTCCTTGGGACTGAGGACCGGCATAAGCCAAGGTGGTGGCAGTTCTACTGGTATAGAAGTTTTCAGTATCACATTGGTTGTGGGCAGGATAGAACAAGTGTCAACTGGATACAAGTTGGTCACAGAATCATGTTCAGAGAGTGCTTATCAATGGCTCCTTCTCAAACTGGGAGGAGATAACAAGTGGGGTCACTCCTGGGTCTGGTGTTCTTCAACATTGTTATTAATCACTTGGATGAGGGAGTTCAGGGAATACTTATCAGATTTGCAGATGACACAAAGCTGGGTGGAACAGCAAATATCTTTGAAGACAGGAACAAAATTCAAAAAGAACTTGATAGGCTTGAATACTGGGCTAAAAACAAAAGAATGAAATTTAAGAGGGAAAAGTGCAAAGATCTACACCAGCAGGGTGGCAAGGGGGAACCAAACATACCATTACAAGATGAGCTACTTGGCTCAGTAATACTATGAGTAAGAAAGATCTTGGAATTGTTGTAGATCACAAGCTGAATATGAGACAAAGGTGCAATGTGCCTGCAAAAAAAGATCAATACTATTTTATGCTGCATTAACAGAAGCATGGAGTCTGTCCATACTGTGAAATTTGATGTGAACTTAATAGGTCTTCATCAGGCTATTTTAACTCTTGGTACCTGTCCATGAAGGCAGAATGAAGAGCTATAATGCATCTCAATGCATCATCCCAAAAAAGGTTGCATGCTTTAGCCGTGTGTCAGAAAGATAGGGCCAGTTCGTAAAGAGGAAGGATCATTTTAAATAGAAACACAAGCACACGAGGTCTCTTTTTCTCATGCCAAACAGTGCTATCAGGGAACCATAGACCATAATTATATGAACGTGTGGGCAGATTCATAACCTCCAG